AGTGAGTTCAATGTAACATAGGTCAAGTCAGTACAATACTTAGTGATCTTGACAATTTCCTGGAATACTGAATAACACTTTTTATTAACCCCTAATTTGAAGCCCGTAGTTTAGATACATCACAAAACTTCTAATGATATTTCTACCTTTTCCAATATAATTGCTATTGTTTTCCAGGGAAATTCTATATAGGTACATCTGCTGCCCTCTGGAATTTGGTATGGCAGACAAAAAACATTAAATAAATGGCAAGCCAAGAAAATTACAGGTAAACTTCTCGGGGCATCAGATCCTAGAGCTATATACCCCTGTGATGCTGGCATCAGCCCAAATACTTCTGGGCCTGTCCAGCAATTTAAGTTGCGTGTAAGCCTGTAAAGAAAAGATTCATTTTCTAAGGGAAATTTGCCAACAATATGAAAAACCTTTGCTAAACGATAAAGGCAGAAGAGGGACTGACCCTCAGATGGAGCACAGACACGACCACCCTCAGGTCAGCGGACCTAAGCTGAAGAGAGCAACACTAGAAGCTCCTTGATAGATAAAATCTGGTCCAGCACACATCAGTGGGACAAGACAAAGCTTCCCTTCAGCAAATATACTTTCCAAACCCTTTCTTTTTGCTCCCCTGCAGAACAAAACCCTCTCCGATTTATTGACAGTCTTGAAGTCTGGCACGCAAGCTTCGACTTGCAATACTGGGTGAGTTTTCACCATTGCCCCGAGAAGGTCCTGACCCTTATTTCCTATTCCCAGTAATTTCCTTTAGTCCTAGATTAACTGCCAGGCTTATGGCAGTTTCTGCTATCTATGCCCTGTGCACACCCAAGTGGATAATTCAGACGGAAGGTAAAGCAAGATGTTGGTTAAATACAGACTCCTGATGCCATCTCGATTAATGGTGGCTCAGCTGTAGTCTCCCCCTCAGACCACTGGTGCCCCTGCCTCGGTAAGGACTACAGGTTTTAACGTTAGCTGGTAACAAAACACAGGATCAAACAAACAGCAGAAAAAGGCTAGTGCTGGAGTCACAATTTTGTCCACTCACATCTTGCTCTTCCTACACTTCAGGATCAGTGAATTCCCTGTAAAAGGGGGAAATGACTCTGGGTTTGAGATGCAGGATGTTAGGACGCTTCCAGTAACACCAGTTGTTTATCATGCTGCTGCA